GATGAGAATAGCAATAACTTCAATAACAAATTGTTATTCTTATTTACAGGGACAAAACAAAAAGTAAAATCATAGCAAATTGTAGAGGCTGACATCATAAAATCAAATACATAGATAGTCCCCAACTTATGACATATTCAGGTTATGTCAAAGTACACTTAAAACTGTTTTTTGGTTTTTGTGTATTTTATCATTAATAACATATACTACATACATTATTGCAGCATGTAATTTGCTAATGTTATCATTCTCAAATGTTCACTCACAAATGTTTAATGTTATAATTTATTGTTCAGAACACTGCCAGACAGCAGACTATGGCCTGGTCTACAGTGAAAGTCGGTGTCAGTGTCAGTGGCCCTAACAGAAAGTTCAGCAATGTTCAACTCTAATAACACATAACAATTGAACTGTGCATGTGCCTGACAGTTGTTATGACTCTGACTTCATTGTTACAACACTGACATTATAGACCAGCCCTATAGTGTGATCTTACTTAGCATTTAGTACCATAGGAAATATTAGTTAATTTGAAATGAGACATTCAACTTAGATCAGAACGGACTTACCAGGAAGTCATTGGAATAAAACCTCATCATAAACTGGGGATGACCAGTACACAGTTAGAATGGCTCTGGAAATGTGTTGCCATGGCCTGCATGTTCTTATGGAGGCACTGGGTAGTAGAAACAGTTAATGCATTTGATTGCTAGCTGATACTTTAGAGGTTCGAGCCCACCCAGAGGCACCTCAGAAGAAAGCCTTAGTAATCTCCTTCAAAAAAAGTATCCATTGAAAAGCCTATGGAGCACAGTTCTGCTTTGATCTATACGAGATTGCCATGAGTCGGAACTGACTTGATGGCGTCTGGTAACTGGTACGAGTTCTTGCCTGATTTGCCCCTGCTCTGAGCTCATCTCTCATCATTCTCAACTGTTCTCACCCTGATACAGCCACACTGATCTTTTATTTCCAGGACACAAAAAGCCCATTTTTACCTCAGAAACTTACTATAGCATTTGGGCAGAATTCTCTTTTCTCTGTTGATCAAGTCTTTCCTCAAGTAGCACCTCCTCAG